TGCTATGTTGCCCTGGCGCCCCTGGCCATTGGGGGCTGTCCTGGGAAACACATCGGCGGCCGGGACATCCATTCAGACAAAGAGTGCAGTATGTTCTTCAATCCGGTCTGGTTGAAGACTCCCCAGTTTGACGATGGAGGACTGCATTTGCTCCAGTGTCTCAGTGAGAAATCAAATATGACCAAATATGTATTTTTATGTATTTTTTGTACATAAGGATAAGTAGTAATATGTAGTAAGCAAGTTTTTCTATGTTAGTATTTTAATGGTTTTTAATGGTTTCATGTGTTTTTATGTTTTGGGAATGTGTGGGTGCACCCTGCCATTTGCGACCGCCAGATCTGCAGGCTTTGGCAAGCCTTGGTTCATTCTCCATGGGCCGTGTCGCAGTGTCTCTCACCTGAGCAGATGGTGATGCCCCCCAGCTGAAGTATTTTTTTGGGAAACAGGGCCAGCCGGATCTGAATTGGAGGCCAACAAATGGCTAAACGTTGCATTCTGTAGATAAATATGGCTAAATCAACGATAATCCATGCCCGGATATCAACGGTAATCGGATGTAGTCGGTATATAATCGCTTCTTCCTTTCATTCAGGAACGCACTGTGCGGGTACTATTTGACCTTGATCTTCATTAAAGACGCCTGGGAGCAGAGAGGTCAGAAGCTATGGATGGCTTTTCTCCCGAGGGATACGTGCCACAACACTTTGCAACCCGGAAGAAAGAGTTGGCATGGTTTTGGAATGTTTTGGATGGTCCAGTTGTGGAACAGTTGTCGGCTACGTGTTCTATCGTGTTCTTCTATGTCAGTTTCTTTTCTTTCATTTTTTATTGCTCTTGGACTGAAGGGCTATGTGCGCCAACCTCATTCTCCGCGCCAGCTGCTATCCGGACAACATTGTTTTTGAACCCAAATGCTGCCAAGAGGATGGCATAGAACGGTACTTCGGGACTTTGAAGGGCATCAAAAACAATCCAGCAAGCACGTCGGTGGCTACCGCAATCCCAGCAGCACAGCTCCTGCACCGCAGGCAGTGCAAAAAACCTTTGAAGGACTGGTCCGGGCTGCTGCTTTTCTCTTGCCTATTCTGTTATCTATCGTATTCTATCGATATCTGTTGTTCCACCTTTTGAAATCTTTTGGGTCCGTCTGGTCTTTCCGTTTCTTTTATGTTATTTTGTGTTGCCAAATCTTCTCATACACTTAGCACGCCTGGCCTTCCCAAATGATTATGTTTGGGAAATTAATTTGGGGGTGGGGGGGTGGTTGGGTGACCCCTCCAAAATAAATAATGAAAAGGACAGGGTAGTAGAA